ATCTAATTACCATATTTTATTTGATCAATAGCAAATGAGAACTTTAACAATAGCATTTTAACAATTTAGCAGATTTTTAGTTGTTAAAAGTCCAACTATTGAAGAAAAAAGAGGCAAGCTTTCAGTAACCTTTTACCTCTCCAACATCAAAATAAAGCACATTCATTTTGAAGGCTAAGCTTCTGGATGCTAGAGACCGGGCCAACGCAGATTTACCAACAATTTACAATACTAGTCCTGGGCGCCGCCTCATTCCCTAACAAAGCGGCTAAATTCTTGGTCCAATACTAGTCCTAAATCAAAACGGAAAAGCAAGAGAAGCAATAAGAAAAATACATTCCCGCATGTGAAGCAACGAACTGGGATAATCATCTTGTTTTGCTAGTTCTTGGTCTTGGCTTTGCAGTTTGCCCTACTCCCTCCTCTCTCCCTGTTTTTTTTTTCCCGTAACTTAAAAATTCATTAAAAGAATAAAAAAAGTTAAAACACTATAAGCATTTGAAACCAAGAAAAAAGAAGTTTAGAAAATGTAACATGTTTAAGAGGAGTCAAACACTTGTAGAAAATCTCGAACTAAAAAAGAGTCAAGAACAATGCCAGATTATCCAGAACGGTGATGCTTGTAATGTTGACGACACTCATTGTCTCCGATCAAACAAAAATTACAATATTTTCTTGTCGATTAGTCCAAACCCTAGCATCTCGAACCTTCATCGAACTTTAAATGAAAACTCTATAAAAAAAATGCTAAACTATGCCAGAAGAAACAGGAGATTAAAAAAAATAATAAACAACGAAAAGAAGGAAAAGGAAAGTTTGGGAGAGTGAGAGTGAGAGATGAGAGTTGGCCAGAAAATGGGGTATGGGTTTAGGAGATGAATTGCATGGGTTTTGGGTAGAAAACGGGTTGGGTCTAACTTAATTTAGGGAATGAATAAGCGGCGTTTCTTTAAATAAATGCTACTAAAGTTTTCGAAATAACGGCGTTTATTTTTATAGAAATCACTAAATAATTATAAAATTATGTATCTTTTAGTAATATTGGTTACTAAAAACGCTTTTAAAATTAAAATATTTAGTAGTGATTGTATTAATAAGCACCATTAAATAATAATAAAAACTGTCTTATTTTTAATGAAATGATATTTTTATTTTATTAAAAGTTAAAAATTAATTTACAATGTTTTATAATATAAATACCGTTAAATTTATAAATTAATGATATTTTTATATACAAATATTACAAAATAAAGTTTTAATGATGTTTACTATATAAACGTTACTAATTTATTAAAAACACGAAACTTAATGGTATTATTAATAAAATATCATAAAAAAGTGCTACCATATTTTATTTTTTGTAATGATTATTTGTGATTTTTCCAATTTTTTGGTCTATTAATGTTAAGATTCGTCAGTTCCAGCCAGAATGATACGAAATTAGATTAAAAAAATAGAATATGAATTAAAAAGAAGAAAAAAGAAATCAATTTTCCATAGCTGATCATTGAACCTTTTTCTAGCAACTCTGAATCTTATTAGCAGCATGCTTCACGGCAGCCGGTTTAGTGGTTGAATTTTCCATTATCCAAATCCCTTCGCTAGGAAAAGAAGGCTTGTTCTAAGCAGACTGAGCCCAACCAAAGCCCAAATCCTAACCATTATGGATTTAGATGCAATAACTTTGGTCCAAGTTTCACTTGATTTGGGTACAAGAATGGTGTCACTGCGGTTCTCTTTCTTGTTTTCTCAGCCCACCAACCTGTCAGGCACCCCTCAGAACAACCTCCTCCCCGCGTCACTTCCCATCGCCACATTTCTCTGCCGCACACGACGGAGCTGCAGCAGCAGCCTTGGCAGTAGTTTCGCAGAACAGGAAGCACCCATTTCTCGAAAACGCAGTGAATTTGCCCTGCCGAACCTCTTTGGGGCTTGCTCTCTCTTGCCGATAGCTCAGCTCCAGTCGTCGAGTCAAAGACTAGAGTTACTTTACCTCCGGTTCTGGGAAATCCCCTTCGACTTCTTGGAGTTGGACAGAGGAAAAAAGAGCATCTTGGGATTGAAGAACATCGATGTCTATGCATTTGGTAACTTTATTTCTTCTTTTTTTTTCTTTTACTTTGAAATTTTCTGTTTCTTTTCTGTCTGATGTGATTCTTCATCGCTGCTAATGTACAACGCACCTACTTAAAACACTTTGGACCATAAACATATTCTTTCCTTTTTTTTTTTTTTGGAAGCTTTGTTCATGTTCTAAATTCTGGAATTCTGGATGACGTGCAAGGTTTCAGCTTTAGTTTTGATTTTTAAATTCCAGGCTTGCATGCAAGAACGTCTAGAATTTAAAGAGAATAATCGGAAATAATATTACATAACTGATGTTAATTGGCAAAATATTGAGTCATGGAATACAATGTGGGAACTAAATCATTGGCTAGAATGCTTGTGGTACATTTATGATAGTGGATTATAGAATGTAAGATTGAACTATTAAATCAGTTACTTTAAGTAGACATTTGGTTCAAGTAAGTAAAATTTCGAAATTTTCTTCCATATTTTACTTTTTATAATTTGATTTTTTAATTTAATTCATGAGAATATAATTTTTAAAATTTTTTAAAACTTTTAATATTATCAAGAAGTGAGAAAGTAGGGAAATAAAAACTTCTCTCCCTAAAATTTTTTAAGATTTCAAAGAGAACGTAGAATTTTTTTTTCTTTATTTGTTCTCATTTAATTATATTTTTAGATTATATAAACAATATTATTTATCTTTAAAATGTAATAATTTTTTATAAAATATTATAAAAATAAAATTTTTTTAATATATTTTTTTAAAAAAATAATGTTTTTAACACAGTACTATTGAAATCTTTATAAAAATTACGATTAAAAACACGATTTTTATTAAAAAAACTAAAAAAATATATTATTTTTCATAATTCAACAAAAACGATATTTCTAAGAAAAAAAGTGATCTTTATTAGAAATATGAAAAAATTTTATTTTTCAAAATTTAACAAAGATAATGTTTTCAAAAATAAAAAACATAAGTTTTTTTGAAAAAATAATGTTTCTAAGATAAAAACATAGTTTGTTGAAAATATTAAAAATATATTTTTCAAAATTCTACAAAGATGATATTTTTAAGATTAAAAATACAATTTTTGTTGAAAAAACTACGCTTTCAATATAAAAACATAATTTTTGTTGAAAAGATAATTTTTCTAAGATAAAAATATATTTTTTGTTAAAAATATGAAAAAAATAATTTTTCAAAATATAACAAAAATAAAATTTTTAAGATAAAAACGTAATTTCTTTTATAAAAAACGACGCTTCTAAGATGAAAACATTATTTTTATTTTAAAAAATAAAAAAATAAAACATAAAATATTTTTACTTAATATTATTATATATAAATTTTAAAGTATATTTATATAATATTATTACACATAAAATTTGTTTTGATGGTAGAAGGGATTTATTATCCTTTTTAACCCCCACATCGACTTTATCGCAAAAATCAATCTCCATATTTTTTTCTATGCAAGACCAATTAACATTAGGATAGTAATTAAAATTATAATATTATATTTATTAAAAATATAAAAAATATTTTTTTATAATTATTTAATTTTAATGAAAATAACATGTTATTTATATATTAATATTATGAATATCACATGTTATTCACGTATAATTAAAAATAATATAATAAAAGACTTTATTAAATTTACATTCTTGTAAACTAAATGCAATAATATTATATTTCTTAAATTAACAAAACTCAATAGTCACACATTTTCTTTCAACATCTTTTTTTTTCTAAATTACTTTCTCTCCCAAAATTTTAAAATTATCAAATCAAATGCCACCTAAAAAAAAAAGTTTGCAATTTCTTTGTACCGGTAACCTGATTCTCCTGCTGGTGTTTACGCTAATGGGGATGATTTGAAGAAGTTATCGAGTGAGAAAAATGGAAATTTATCTATAAGGATTTCAATGATGATCTTATGGAAGCTGAAATATGTATTGACTTTTAGAATTCAAATTGTTTATTTGTTATTAGTCATTTTTTAAAGTTGATCATGTTAAGAATAAGTATCACAATTTAAATATTAAATTAAAATTTTTTAATTTAAATAATATATTAAATATTTTATTATAATTTAAAAATTATTCATAACATTATCGTTATATTTAAATTAATTGCGTCACACCTTTTGAAGTTACAAACTGGTCATCAAAAAACACTTAAAATCCCCTCTCTCACTCTTCTTGTTCTTTCAGCTACAAAGCACCCCAGCTTCTAAGTCCATACGACTAATTTTTCAGCTTCAAATCGTTAACAATATGATTTGAATTTAAACAGAATATTTTAAATGATACATCTGCTACTACAATTGTTTAAGGAAGCTGGTGTGTTGGGTCAAAGGCTAAAGTAACTGTTATTTATAGGGCTGTAAACGAATCCAATAAGAATAATCGAATATGTTATTTGTTTAGTTTTACAAATATTCGGATTCGATTTATTTTAATAAAAAAAATAATTTATTTGTTTAAGCTTAATTTATTTAAATAATAAAATTTTTGCATTCAGTTCAATTAAATTAAACAAATTCGTTTGTAAAAATTAAATAAATATATTCACAAAAATAATAAATTAATATATTTATAAATAATAAATAAATTATAATCAAGTAAATTTAAACAAATATCAGTAACCCAAATGAATATAAATAAATTTTAAAATAAAATTAAAATTAAAATTAAAAAAATAATTTTATTATTATTATAAATAATTAATTAATTAATTTTAAATGAGTTAAATTAAATTAAATTAATATAAATAAATTAAATAAATTATTATTCATATTCAATTTATATAATAAACAAAAATAATTTTTTATTAAACTTAATTAACGAATAAAAATTAAATATATTCATAAATAATTCATCAAACATTATATTCATTTTCACACCTAAATACTACTCTGTAATCCCCGTATCGAGCAAATGCTAGTGCATAAAGGGCACAAAATAATACAAATAGGCCAAATGGTCAATAAAGATCGGTTGCTTTCAGCTCAACGGTTTCAATGAAAAAAAAAAAAAATCCGTCTTTATCTTCTACCGGAAAGATTTATTTTTGTTCTCTTTTCTATAACTTCAAATATCTCTTACGGTCCCCACCCCAATCAATAAACAAAATGAGGGAAACGGGGAAAAAGGCTTATAGCCAGATGGGCAAAGGATAATTTCAAAAATGAAATAATGAAAGTATTAGGAACATTGTCTTCTTTGCAAAATGATTATCCTATTTACACGTCAGCATCAACTTAGACTAATCAAACTAAGTTGATCCAATTGAACATCTAAGCAACCAACCATAAATCCCCAAAATATGGTAGCTCCCCACTTTCGACAACAACTTCGTAGACTTCATAAAAACCCAACCACCTTTAAACGTTATCATGTCTTCTTGACCAATGACCCCGGTCCCCGCCAACTGGCACATGCTGATGTGATTGTGACGCTTGGTGGCCGCAACTCCACGTGCCTTTTGATCATAGCACCACTCCAGATCCTCTTGTCGGAACAAGTCTGACTAGCACTGAATATTCTATTCTAACCAACTGCATTGCACATTCAATTCCCAAGCCCTTTCTCTTTACACCTCCGCTGAATCTGCAGACAATCAAAATCCTTACTTCCTCAGGCAAAACAAGAAAACCGCGTGCTCTTCACTTAATATGAAAACCTTGGTACCTCAAACTCTCTCTAACGTGTCCTGTGCCTTTCCCTTTCAAATTTCATTGAGGCAGGCTGTGAGAGAAGAAGGCATCTGCTGTTGCAATATACTAATTGCAGCTAAATTTCAATACTTGGTTCGGAAAGGTGGCTGGGGCATGTGCTCAAGATTGAAGGCACGTTCCTTCCACACACCGGAGAGGATTTCTGACCATTACCAGCAGAAGAATTCTCGCTCTGTTGTGATTGTAGTGTGGGAACTGATGTGCCAATTTTGCTACCTGTTGAACTTGTTCTCAAGTTGCCACAGCTAGGTGGAGACCTAACAATCATAGAAGACACAGACTGCCTGTTCGTAGGAATTTCTTGTCCTTGTGGCAATAACCCAGACTTGATATTTACCCCAAACGATATCTGGGTTTGGCCTTGTGGAGACCTCGATAGTTGCTGGGGAAAATTTTTGCCGCCTGCGACGTTGGTAGCCTGGGAAGCCTGGGTTCTTGTTGAGTATTTCCACGGGATTGATTGTGTAGCGTTGCTAGAAAACTTGGAAGCAATGAAAGATGCAGGCATGGTGTTGGTTGTGGGAGTTTTGCTTCGAGAAGCTGTAGCAGGTTGCTGCTGATGTTGCACCATATGCTGCCTCTGAAGCTGAAGCAACTGTTGTTGGGAATTTGGTGAACTAGCACCAATGGGAGAATTTATGGTTACTTTGGTGGAGGTGACGGATCGAGGAGGCCAATTTCCAGTGACAGGAGAGGATACGAAGTTCGAAGTTCTATCTGAATTGTCCAAAACATAAGTATGCCCGTTTGTTGCATCTGACTTCCCTGAACTTACCTTTTTTCCATCATCCAGATTGGTGGAACCGGCTCCATTTTTCCCGTCAGATATTTGGTGATTCTTCTTCTGCGCAGCTTGTGGTACAGATGCAACCTGGTATCCTTGCCAAGCTATATCAGGTCGGCTATGAAAGTTTGTGGGGTTTTGTGCCATAGACGAGAAGTTAAGATTAGAAACTATGTTGCGTCCAGCGAAAGAGGCAAACGACATGGCAAATGCTTGTGGAGGGACGAGATCAACTCCACCCTTAAAATTTTTCTGTTGTGAAAGCTGCTTCTCGCTGTGATTTCCATTTACACTGCCACCTCGCAACGTTGCAGAAGGTAACAGGGCAAAGTTGAGCGGCTGATCAGGAAGTGCTGGGTTCTGGCCATAAACACTTTTTTGGTTATTTGCAGTTGTATTCTCCCCATTCATCTCAGGTTCCATTTTGCGAGATTGATCGGATGGGAGCACATGATACTTCTGCAACTGCTGTAAATGAATGTTTGTTGAGCTCAAAAAATTATTGCCACTAACTTGTGCCCTCCGTAGAGCCTGACTTTCTAGTTGCTTGTGGGATGATGACGAGCCACTAGATGTGACTGCATTCTGATAAGCTGGTTGAACCAGAGGCTGAGAGTGAGCTTGCTGCTGAAGTTGAGGATGGAACATCTGAGAAGAATACAAGGACCCATTAAAGAAAGGCACTGCTTGAGTGGGGGTTCCTTCTCTACTGGCCAATGGTTTTCCGACAGGAGCAGAGATGGCAAAAGGGTAACCATTGTTCTGTAGTATAGTTAAGCATGGAGCTTCATTAGCACCCAAATTTGGGTAATTAAAGCTCACAGCTGCTGCTACTCCTGGTAATGCTGTAGAGCTAGTTGAAATTCCAGGTGTTGAATTATTAATCAATGATGCTTTGTCACTTGAGGTAGCAGATTTAGAAGGCCCAGATTCATTCGCCGTTATTTGGTGCTGGCTCAAAGGGAATATGAAAGCAGGGCCATGCTGCAACAACACAAAAGACCAAGACTTAGAAAAATGAAAACTACTTAAACAAATAAACAGAAAATGATGCAACAACAAACAAACCCCTCCCCCCCCCCAAAAAAAAAAAATAATAATAATAAATAAAGGAATAGAAAGAATTCTACATCGACTTGAAAAGCATTCATATACCATCAAGTTACCAGCAAGTGCTGGTTGGGAGGCCTTTCTCTGTGCTGTATCCATGAAATTGGTGCAGTCAGAGCTTTTGTCTTTCCTGTTTGGGAGACCAGGAAAGATCTCTGCAACCTCGCCTTTCTCCTCTGTAGGGTTTAGATTCACAACCTGGAAGCTTCTTTGAAATGGATTTCCAAGAATCAAATTTTCTGCGGATGGCACCAAATCTAAGTTGTTGGGGTTGGCCACACATAAAGAAGCAGAACCAGGCGCTGCTGGCCAAAAATAGTTCATCTTTGTGAACTGCTGATGCAAGTGTATGTTACGAGCTATGTAATGATGCATGGCACATCTTCTAGGTCGAGGTTGAGAAAGAAGGAAATGAGGAGGCTGCATATTTCCAATAGAAACTCATAATTAATTCAAAACAAAGAAAATATGATACAATTAACCTGAACCATCAAGATGACAGAGAGTGATATATTGAAATCTTTGGCCTTGTAAGGAAATCAGTATTCATACCTGTAATGCTGTGGATGATCTGATACTTCCATCAATGGGAGCACTTGTCTGGAAGGGAGGCATATATCTGCTACAAAATTGAAGTTTCTACTTCTTAGAAACAAAATAATATTTACCGCAAGAACATTTAACAAAAACAAAATGCAAAAGCACAATGTGGGTCTTGATAGATTACCCCAAAGGTGGCAGACCATTTGGCCAGCAAGCAAGGTTGATTGGCACGGGCACCGAACTAGATTGAGCTGAATAAGAAAAGAAGATCAATCAGTGAACTCAATCATATCATAAAGCAGAGTTAAAAAGAAACAAATAAAAATAATTGAGCTGCACATTTAGTCAAAGCTGAAATATAATAAAAAAATTACCGGTTTTTTCCACTTTAGGAATGCCAACTTTAGATAGCTGTTGTTTTTGACCATGTTGTTCAAATTTACAACAATCACTACCACTATCTTGCTGCGGCTTCTCCAAATCAAGATTCAATGAATCTCGCTTCTCCCTAATTGTATCCATCCTCTTGTCTTTACCATCTTCTGCTCTCATTTCTTCCTTCACAACCTTTACTTCATCCTCAGCCAAAGTCTCTATCTTCTACATCAAAAATGAAAAGTAAAAAATTTTAGTCCACAAAGAAAGAGGAGGAGAAATCAGTAGAGTTGAAAGGTGCCTACCGACTCTGTATCCAGAACCTTGTGTACAGGATCTTGTGCGATATCCACAGGGCTATCCCTTTCCGGAGATGATGCCATTGGAGGAGGAACCTGTTGGAAAGGAAGAGGGGGCGATTATTTATTACCCTTTTTCTTCAGAAATTTGGACAGCAAAATACCAAGAAGAAATCTAATTGGAATTTTCATCAGAAGGAGATTCTCACCATCAAATCGATCTTGAACTTCTCTTCACGTTGGATCTCCACTTTTGACACCGTCGATATTCTGTGATATCCGACGCCAACCAAAAAAGAAAAAAAAAAGATAACAATTCTGATATCATGAAAGTATTAATCAAAGGTGAAAAAAGAAAGAAAGAAAGCAAGATTCTTTGATGCTCACGCTTTGGTCACTGTCGAATCCTGAAAATCAACATCCACTTTAGCGGATTCCTTTTCAGTCCAAACAGAATTTTCCTTGGTCACAGCTCCATCTACGAAATTTGGTTCTTCAATGGATGGTTGTGAATCTCCATGCTTAATCATCACCACGTTCTCCCGTGAATCCAGTAACACTGGTACCATTTTAAAAGCATCCTTATCAAGATTAAAATCAGAAATGAACTCATTAAGTCCTGATGTTTGACTCTGTTTTGGTGAACAGATTTCCATTTTTGCCCGTTGCACATTCTCAACTTTCACTGGAGTTGGAGAATCCTCAGCTTCCACTTTCTTTTTCTTTGACGCTGCAAATGCCAGTATTAAAAAATGAAATTAAAAAGTGCAAACCTTATTAACAAAAAGATTGAATGCTCAAAATACCCACCAATGCCAACCAATGGATCAGGCAAAACCGTTGTCTGGGATTGACTCTGTGCAGAGCTTGCAATCTGAGGAGAAAAGAAGGCCTTGGTATCAGTAGAGAAACCATTTGAATCTTCAGATTTAAGCTTTGACAGAGGATTTCCAGCGCTATCTTCGTCCTTGGATCTTTGTGATTGCTTCATCAATCCATACAAAGCCTCTGCAATTTCGATCTCGATATCCTCCTGGACTGAGTTCGAACACTTGGTCGCCTTTGGAAGCCGAGTCTTAGGTCCATTCGTCTTCTGTAACGTCAAACAGAAAAAACCCAGAAACTCCTCAATCCTCTCAATTTCGTCAAACATTAAAACACAAAACAAAACATCAAAAAGCCAAAAAATCAAAAGCTGACCATCTTCTTCCTAACTGAACCATT